AGGGAATGGATTCTCCCCTAGAGCCTCAAGAAGGACCCCTTTTAGACTTCTCGTCTCCAGAACTGAAAGGGAATAAGTGCATGTTGTTTTAAGCCACTAAGTCTGCAGCAATTTGTTACAGTGGCCACAGGAAATGAAAAGAGAAGATGACCATCGAGCGTGCTGGAGCTGGTGCAGCACTATGGGGCCTCGCCAGGCTCTGAGAGCTGTGGTTGCCTCTGCTGAGGAAGATGTAGCGGGAGCAAGGGGAGGGAAGGGACTCTGGAGGACTCTGAGCCACTGGGCCACGTGGCAGACCTGTGTTCTGTGTGCCTGGCCCCTGCACTGTCCTTTCCCCAGCTGAACTGGCCTTGGCCTTCCTGCCCTTGTTTGCCAAGACGCCCACTCCCAACCTCTGCCCTCCTGGCCTGCATGACGCAGACACCTGCCCTAGTGCCCCTTCAGAGGCCACAGGACTGAATTCCCCAGTCTCTGTGCCTGAGCAACTCATTTAAAAATAAACTGATGCGGGACTTCCCTGGTGGCCCAGCAGTTGGGACTCCGTGCTTCCACTCCACGGGTTTGATCCCTGGTTGGGGAATTGAGATCCCCGCATGCCCCACAGCACAGCCAAAGAAAAAGAACTGATGCCTAGTGAGGCTACAGCACAGGGCTAGGGGCTGTGAGGAATGATTCTTGGGAATGAGGAGGGTCCTGACTTACCCTCTAGTGCTAAGGGAAACAGTCACATACACAGACATCTGCCTTCAAGGCGGCTCTGAAAGCAGAACAAAGTGGGGTACGAATACGAAGAGAAACAAACATGGGTTGACCTTGAGTTCCTAGTAAGTGCTGGGCTTTACCTACATCATTTCATATAATCCCCTCAGCACCTAAGCTTTAAAGAGAAATAATCAATGCTCATAATTAGGCAGGCTCTGTTCTAGGAATTTTACATACATTTACCTATTTAATCCTCACAATAATCCTAGGAGGTGGGTCATCTTATCCCCATTTTATGGAGGAGGAAACTGAATCACAGAGAGAAGATGTCACTTGCCGAGGGTCAAATAAGTGGTGTTGGGATGTGAACCTAGCAGGCTGGCTCCAGAGTCAAGGCTCTGAGCCACTTTTCATTTGATCTTAGCCAAAAGGTTGAGAAACGATCTGGGCCACTTTTCAGAAGGCAGCTGAGGCCAAGGCAGAGTAAGGGCCTCGTGTGCACCCTTGGCCAGGACTAGGTGGTATGGGCTTGGGATTGAAACCTGGGTCCATCTGATGGAAAACTCGGTGCCTCTTCCATCACTGCAGGCCCGTCACCTTGACTGGGAGACCAGTTCGGGGTTCTGCGATAGGACAGGTGAGGAGGGCCTCCTCTGGGACAGGGGATGGGGAGGGGCAGGTCACAATCAATGGAATTTGGCAATTGTGAGCAGCAGCAGACCCGAGGTGAAGGTCCAGGTTTGGTGGCCTCCCAGCAGGCTACATCCTGAGCTGGGGGTCAGGGACCCCACACGTCTGAGAGAGGACAGGCTCTCCCTGGGACCAGCAGGGCCTTGGAAGCTGTATGGCGGAGGCCCGGGCTCTAACCAGCAGTGTGACTGTACACGACACCTTGCCCCCTGCAAGCTGAGCGGGTCAGCCTCTGTGATCTGAGTCTGTTCTTGGTAGTTCTTGGCATCGAGCCTGATTCTCAGGGTTCTGCACAGGTTGCTCTCCCTCCCCCTCCCCAAACCCTTCCCTTGCTGTGCTGGAGCCTCTCTCCAATCCAGGGCTTCACTAACCAGGAACGGTTTCCTGGTGCGCAGGGGGGCCCCCAGAGAATCCCCCCACTCCCCCTCCCTGTCAAACAGCCAGGGTGATGCAACCTGCCTGCAATTTTGCCACCTCACTCCCCAAGCCTGGCTCCTCCGCACTGAAAAAGAGTCCCCAGCAGCCCCACCCATGCTTCCAGCCCCAGCTCAGGAGTTGAAGGGCCTGGGGCAGCTGGACCCCAGAGGACTTTGTGAAGTTGGGGGAGACCCAGGCATCTGAGTCCTGGATGGGCAACAGGTCCAGAGGTGGGTGTGGGGAGAGGGCTCAGGGTGCCAAGACCTGGGCTCACAGGCACCACTGATGGCCCACCGCCCATAAATTCGAATATGCCCTGAAGGGCTAGGGAGCTCAGTGTGCAAGCTGGCACCAGTTCTGCAGGACTGAGTCAGGCCGCGTGGGTGGGGTAACTGGCACCAGAACTCAACTCTATGGGACCCATCAGATGGAGAGAGAAAAAGGCACAAGGGGCTGGGACAGGGGGACCAGGGTCTTCTCAGTCAGCAAACGCCGCAATCTACAAGCAGCAAGATTCCCACACTAAGTTCATTTCCAGGTATTAAAAAATATCCTACCTGGTCATCCTCTCAAAACCCCATAATCCCCGTCTGAGACAAAACCAAATGGAGGGACATTCCATAGAATATCCAACCTGCACTCTTCAAAACTGTCAGGGTCATGAGAGACAAGGAAAGTCTAAAAAGTCTTTGCAGAGCAGAGGTGGCTGAAGAGACGGACGACTAAAGTGTAAGACGGCATCCTGGAGGGGATCCTGGAACAAAGGAAGGGCGTTAACGAACAACTGGTGAAATCAGAAGACAAGGTGGAGTCTAGGTAATAGAAACATACTGATGTTGGCTCCTGAGTTGTGACAAATGTACGAGCATAATGCAAGATGTCCAGTGACAGAGACTGGATGAGGGTATAAGGGGACTCTCTGCACTGTCTTTGCAGTACATCTACAATTATTCCAAAATAAAAAGTTTATTTAAAGAAAAATACCTAGTCCACCGGTTATAATCTAGAAGGTCTTTTCGAAGAAGACTGGGGAGTGATTGTGCCCCCTCACTGCCAGCGGCCTGTCCAACAGACTCCCCTAATCCCACCTGCTATCGCTCAAATATCTACACTGAGGAGTGGAAGTCGGTCCTTCTTACTTAGAAGAACTTTAAAAGCACTACTGCTTAGCAATGGAGATAAAACATATCCAACTCAATAAGAGTAATAATAAAACCCCCTTATGTAGCACCTACTGTGTGCCAGGCACTAGTCTAAGCGCACTTGACCCGGATTAACTCATTTAATCCTCAAAACAGTACTAAGAAGCAGGTACTATTAACGGCCACGTACCTCAGTACGTTTCTGTTAACTCCATGCTTTATTCTGGCACTGTTAATGGTAACCGAGGCACAGGGAAGGGAAATTGCCAGTAAGCTAGTAAGTGGGGTGTACTCAGCGTTTGAACCCAACAACGTGGCTCCAGAGACTGTGCTCTTAACCACTACTCTATGCTGCCTTGGTAACAACACAGCCCCTATAGGGCAAGAGCTGGCAGAGCGGACAGCAAAGTATCATAAGGGAACATGGCCAGATCCCAGGAAAGACTTCCTGTATGCAGCAGCAGCCTGTACGAGGGATGTAATGTACAATACGTAAATATAATTAACTCTGCTATATGTTGTATATGAAAGTTGTTAAGAGTATAAATCCTAAAGCTCTCATCACAAGGAAAAACGTATGTATTTCTTCTATTTCTTTAGTGTTGCAATTGCAGGAGGTGACGGATGTTCACTAAACTTATTGTGGTAATCAATTCACGAGGTACGTAAGTCAAATCATTATGTCGTACACCTTAAACTTATACAGTGCTACACGTCAATTATATCTCAATAAAACCGGGAGAAGAAAAGAGCACATGCATTTGGGAGGAAAGAAGAAGCCTGTGTGTATTCACTCCCAGCTAACTCTCAAGATCAGGGTCCCCCACCTTCTTTGGATCTTGATTCAGTCTCATAAGCACCACAAAAGTGATGAAAAGCTGAACTCCAGGTGTAATGTCCTGATGTGGATGAACGCAGGGTGGGAAAAGGAGGGAAGACCCACATCCACTTGGGGCTGGTGGAGGGTCCAGTGCAGGGGGAGGGGATGGCTAGGAAGCCCGATCTCTTTTAGCGATGCAAGTACAGATCTCCCTCTTTCTGGCAGAGTGTGAAGACTGATCTAGTGGCGGGGGCGGGGGCGCAGCCGAGGCAGAGGATCCTTCGAAAGGAAGTCTAGGGGAGGGGCAGGGACAGAAGAATGAACCAACGGGCCTGAAAGGAGTGCTAAGGATATGGGCTGAGGAGAGGTGGGCAGGGGATGGAGAAAAGATAAGACTGGGGGCGATGACCGACTCCCTGCATCAAGATGGGGCTGAGCGTCCATCATTTGAATGGGAGCGGGCAGGGATGGCTGGAAATCACCTTGGAGGAGTGAAGGAAACACAAGAACGACCTATTAGCAAGTGTTGCATGGTTAAGTGTCTGGGGCTCCGGCCACGGGGGTCGGAAGGGTTGACGCGGGGCTCAGAGTTCCCTCCTACTGATCATAAAAGACGCTGAGCGAGCATGTAGGAGGTGGGATCTGGGTTTCACAGGAATGGACTTATTTCTCACAAACGACCCCACCAGGTACACTTGATTATTCTCCTTACTTTACAAATAATCCCCTATCTGAGAGGCTAGAGAATTTATTTGTCCAAGGCCACCCTCGCCGGTCTCTGATTTGAACGGAGCGTGCTCTGTGACCCACGCCAGACTCTAAGCCACAAAAAGTGTTCTCAGAGTGGAACGGCAATTAAGGATAAAGAGATCAACATGTGGCTGACCGGAAATTCGCGAAGCAGGGGAAAAGAAAGGCGAAATGAACTAGTGCGGGTCTCAGGGAAGAGGAAGGGCCGAGTCACCAAATCAGAGGGAGCAGAGAGCCGGACCGCGGACCCCAGAGTCAGAGGGAAAGAAGGGTCGGCACCCCCGAAGCTGGGAGGAAAGCGGGGCTAGATCTACAGGTCAGAGAAAGGAGAGGCCTGAATTCCCGGGGTGGGAAGGATGAGGGGGCCGGATCCCGGGATCCCCGAGCGCGGGCGGTCAGGCCCGCCTCACGGTTGAGGCCGCGCGGGGCGGGGCGCGGAAGGATCCGGGCAGGCCGTGCTGCGCCACCTCCGGTATATCTGTCCCCAGTCCACGGGGTCACCTCATTCCCCACCCTCAGATCATGATTTCTCCTCACACTACCGCGACGCCACCTCAGCCCGCGTAGCCCCGGCCATGGCTCTGTAGCCGCGACCCCTCTGTGCCCCCGGCCAGTCTCCGCGCTCACCGCGCCTGCGCTCTCCGCTCCTACCTTCTTTCTTCAGCCGAGGCTGCCGCCGCCTCTCCTTTGCGCAGCCATGGAGTGAGTAACCGCTCGCCTCTCCCTCTCCAACGGCCTTTCCCGCCCTTTCGAAGCTCGCGGCCCTCACAACCGAGTCTGGGGCGTAGGGAGACGAGACTGAGGAATCACGGTCGCGCAGGCGCAGAAGAGGGAAGACGGGTCGGTCGCGCGCGCGGTTGAGCATGCGCACTCGGCCCGATGGGGGGAGGGTGCGTTCTTCCAGACAACGTTGGTGTTTAAAGACAGCACATGTGCGTTTGCGCCTGCGCACTAGTTCCCAGAGAGGGTGGTGGTTCGCCCCCGCCCTGAATGAGTCTGCGAGCGATTGCTCATGCGCATCTGTCCACCAGCGGTAGTATTTCTATGCAAAGGGCGGGCAGTAAGCAGCCGCACGTGCGCACTGACCCCCAGGAGGGCGGAGGCCTGAGGGAGCAATGGGGCCGCTACGGCGGTGGAGCATGCGCTTTAGCCCTCGGCGAGAGAGCCGCGTGTGGATGGCGGAGAGTGAGGAGCTGTTCTCCGCCTGCAGCCTCCACCCGCCCGCCTCCACTTTGCTCAGGCGCAAAGCACATCTTCCCTCCGTTTCATTCAGGCACCTCCGGGGGGGGGGGGGGGGGGGGGTGGTTTAGATTGACAGGGGAGAAGGCGGGACTTAGAAACGACCCGTTTAAGGGGATGGAGCTAGGATAAGAGGCGTCACGGGGGGTGGGGCTTGGGGGGGGTAACCCACGGTGAGAAGGGGCGGGACTAAGAAAACCGTTAGCTGAGGGGATGGTGTTTCTATCTGAGAAAGAGGCGAGGCCTCTGGGGAATCGTCGGGGAGGGGTGGAGCTAAAATAAACCGTGGGGGCGGGATTTGGAGGGACAGTGGCAATCACCGCAAAATTCAAAGGGAAGGGTGGGATTCGAACGGATGACATTGATGAAGGGGCGGGACAGGGGGGAATTCCCCTGGGAAGAGATTTGAGATGGAATCTAGGGAGGAGCTGGGGCCTAAAGGATGTATTTTAGAGGAAGAGGCGTGGCTGCAAGAAAATTCCCCTGGGATTGAGTGTTTTTTTTTAATGAAACGGAATATTATGCGGTAGGTGGGAGGGACTTAAGGAAATTCCCCTGGGAGACCATAGGTTTCTGTATTGGAAGGATTGGGTCTGGGGAATTCTGAAGAAAAGTAAGTCGGACGTAAAGAGAATTCCCTTGGGAATGGGTGGGGCTCAGATTTGGGGAAAGAAAGGGCAGATTTAGAATTCTGAAAGGGCATGGAATCCCGGGGCCCTGGGGGTATGGCTTGGTTTCCCCGTGGCTTTGGCAGTAGGTTAGGCTGGCCCCTGACCCACTCACTTTTGTGTCACACTCGTAGGTACTCCGCTTTTGCCTTGGTGCCTGTCTTCGTCCAGCTGAGTAACCGCCAGAGCCTCCTGCCACTTGTTGGTGCAGCCTTCTCCATTGCCATCCGTGCCCAACGCCCGTGCTGCAGCCATGTCACTCCTGGCGACCCTGGGGCTGGAGCTGGACAGGACCCTGCTCCCAGCTAGCGGGCTGGGCTGGCTCGTAGACTATGGGAAACTCCCCCTGGCCCCTGCCCCCCTGGGCCCCTATGAGGTCCTTGGGGGAGCCCTAGAGGGCGGGCTTCCAGCGGGGGGAGAGCCCCTGGCAGGTAAGGGCAGGCAAAGAATGGAGGTGGGGTGAGCTGGGCTGTGGGGGGCAGGGGAGAAGAATTCATTCATTCACTTTTCATTCATTCAATAAGTATTTATTGAGCATGTATAATATGTCAGGCACTGTCTTAGGTGCTGGGGATACAGCTGGAAACAAGACTGACATGATCCCTGCCCTCTTGGAGCTCACACTTTACTGGGGAGACAGACAAGAGACATATTAAACCATGATGCATGGGGATAAGTGGGAAACACTTAGTAGCTGAGCTTAAAAATGACAAGGGGGATTTTCCTGGTGGCGCAGTGGTTAAGACTCCCAATGCAGGGGGCCCAGGTTCGATCCCTGGTCAGGGAACTAGATCCCACACGCATGCCGCAACTAAGAGTCCGCATGCTGCAACTAAGGAGCCTGCCTGCCTCAACTAAGACCCGGCGCAACTAAATAAATAAAAATAAATAAATATATAAATAAATATATTTTTTAAAAATGACAACAAGGACACGTTTAGAGCGGGGAACCAGGAAACCCTCTCCAAGTCAGTAACATTTTGGCTGAGACCTAAAGAATGGTAAGGAATGAGCCATGAAAAGGGAAGAACTGGGCTTCCCTGGTGGTGCAGTGGTTGAGAGTCCGCCTGCCGATGCAGGGGACACGGGTTCGTGCCCCGGTCCGGGAAGATCTCACATGCCGTGGAGCGGCTGGGCCCGTGTACTGCAAAAAAAAAAAAAAAAAAAAGGGAAGAGCTTTTCAGGTGGAGGAAACAGCATAGGCAGAGCTCTTGAGGCAGGAAGTGTTTTATTCATTAGTGTATCCCAAATGCTTGGTACATAGTGGGTTTTCAATAATTAATTAAAGATGAAACAGGGTGTGTTTATGTGTGATTTAGTTTGCCGTTTACGAGTAAACTAGAGGGTAAATCAAGAAACCACAGATGTAGGCTAATCGGTAAAGAGGATGTTAGAATGGTTGAAGAAATGGCTGGTTGACTGTTTTGTTGTTTGGGTCATTGGTTGGTTGACTGGTTCATTGATTGTTTGGCTAATTGGTCGGTTAGTTGGCTGGTCTGTTGGTCTGTTGACTGGTTTGATGATTCCTTGATTGGTTGGTTGACTGATTGGCTGGTTGGTGGTTTTACTCAACGAATGGGACGAATGAAGTAGTCGTGAGTGGGACCTGGTTGGGTGGAGGCTTAGGAACTCAAGGAGCTTTCTGTCCCTCTCCAATCCTCCAGGCGACGGCTTCTCTGACTGGATGACCGAGAGGGTGGACTTTACAGCCCTCCTCCCTCTGGAGCCCCCCTTGCCCTCAGGTGCCCTCCCCCCACCTTCCCCACCCCCACCTGACCTGGAAGCTATGGCCTCCCTCCTCAAGAAGGAGCTGGAGCAGATGGAAGACTTCCTTGATGCCCCACTCCTCCCACCATCCTCCCCACCTCCGACACAGCCAGCACCGGCACCCGCCCTCTCCCTTCCCCTCCCCCTGCCCACCTTTGACCTCCCCCCGACCCCGGCCCCGGACACCCTCGACTTGTTGGCCATCTACTGCCGCAGTGAGGCCGAGCAGGGGGACTCGGGGTTGGCGCCCCTGTGCCCCCCACAGCAACCCCCTTCTCCTCCCCCTCAACCCTCCCGCCCCACCCCCTATCCCAATCCTGCCGCCACCCGAGGGGACCGCAAGCAAAAGAAGAGAGACCAGAACAAGTCAGCAGCTCTGAGGTACCGCCAGAGGAAGCGTGCAGAGGGCGAGGCCCTGGAGGGCGAGTGCCAGGGGCTGGAGGCCCGGAACCGGGAGCTGAGGGAGAGGGCTGAGTCGGTGGAGCGGGAGATCCAGTACGTCAAGGATCTGCTTATCGAAGTGTACAAGGCTCGAAGCCAGAGGACCCGGCCCAGCTAGCTGGGCCGGGTCTTCAGGCCATAGCTGCCATGCTGCTCTTCGGCTGTGGCTCACTTCTGTTTCTGGGGCTGAGCTGGGAGGTCGCCCATCATCCCCCTGCCTCTAGCTGCCGTCCAAACTTCCCCTCCCCCTCCCCTTTTATCCTTGCCTCCTTTCCTGTCCATTCTGAATTTGCTCCCCTCCTCCCTCCCCAGAATCATGGAATGTTTGGCCTTAGTCAACATCTATACCCTTCAACTAACAGCTGAGGAACAGAGGCCCATGGGAAATTGGGGGGGCAGGGGAGAGCTTGGAAACCTGGTCTCTCAAGCAGGGAAGTGAGGCCAGGAATCTGCAGAACATCTATGCAAAGGAGGACAGGGAAGCCATCTGGAGACTACGTCAGGGAGGGCTTTAAGAAAGCTGCCCGTAGAATACAAGCAAAATAAGCCAAGTGACCTTGGGGAACTACATTTGGGGGTGGAACCAAAAGGTGGCCGAGTTCACAGAGCAGGTGGATAAGTGGGCAGCTGGGGAGGTGGGCGGGTGGGGGGGAATGGCCATAATGGGTGACTGGGTGTTCATTTTAGCTCTGGGAGGAAATCAGTGTTTTGTGAAGGTGTTGGGGGAGGGGCTGCCTCTAGGTGAGGGAGGGCGGGGACTGATCCTTTCTGGGGGTTGTGAGTGGAAATAAAATGAAGAATTTCCTCTGGCTGTGCGTCTTGTCTTTGAGAGGAGAAGTTGCTCGGAGGGCAGTCTTAGACCAAAGACGATAATGATAATAATGGAAATAACATAATACTTACGGTCAAGCACACACACCGACACACAGTCAAGGCCAAGACGGGACTGACTGAACGGGTAAATGTACAAGACCCACTTTAGCTTCAATTTGTTACTTACGTAGACAGGGAAAAGAGAGAATAGCCAAAGGTGCGAGCTCCACGTGGTCCTTGTCACCAAAAAGGGTGACACCAAAAGGGGCTAGATGGCTGCAGCACAGTTGTGGGGTACCCTGTGATGAAGAGCCAGCCGTCTGAGCAAAGCTTCCCAGGGGAAGTCGGGAGGAAGTGGGAGGTGGCCTGGTAGCCATGGCGGAGACATTCAGCTATATCTGTTTTTTGAAGGCTTACTGTGTACCGAGTGCTATTTTAAGCATTTTGCATGATTATTTCAGTCAACCCCAAAGGAAGGTATTGTTAGGTTTTGGATGAATAACCACAAACACTCATTCCATCTGTGTGGTCTCTGCCGAGCACTGGCTGGGAGAGGAAGGGCTGGTCACACAGTGGTGAACAAAGTCATGTTTTCTGCCACTGTGGAACCTACATTCCGGTTGGGGAGACAGAGGTGATATAACTTGACCAAGTGTATTAGTTACAAATGCTTTTGGCTGCAAGTAACAGCAGACCTGCCCATCAGTGGTGTGCACGTAAGTTTTTTCCCACAGAAGTCTAGAGGGAGGCTGCTGCTGTTAACTGAAGTCTCTCTGATTCTCTTGGCTTTTACATCATGGTCACGGGATGGAGGCCACAGCTCCAGGCATTGTATCTAAATTTGAGGCAGGAGGTCAAATCTTTCTTAGCTGACTCTGGTAGATTTCTGCTTACATCTCATTGTCTAGAGCTATGTTACATGGGTACTCCTAGCTGTAGGAATGGAATATGATTCAGCCTTAAAAAGGAAGGAAGTTTTAACACATGCTACAACGTGGATGAACCTTGAGGACATTATGCTAAGTGAAATAAGGCAGTCACAAAAGATAGTGTATGATTCCACTTATATGAGGTACTATTCAAGGTCCTCAAGTTTCAACCAGAAGTAGAATTGTTGAATCAAATGGTAATTCTATTTTTAATTTTTTGAGGAACTGCCCAGCTGTGTTCCACAGTGGCGGCACCATTTTACGTTCCCACCACCAGTACGCAAGTGTTCCAGTTTCTCCAATCCTTGCCAACTTAGTCTTTTCCTTTTTTTAAAAAAAATTTTTTTGTTTAATATTGAGTTGGCCAGGGCTTCCCTGGTGGTGCAGTGGTTGAGAATCCGCCTGCCGATGCAGGGGACGCGGGTTCGTGCATCTGGGAAGATCCCACATGCCGTAGAGCGGCTGGGCCCGTGAGCCATGGCCGCTGAGCCTGCGCGTCCGGAGCCTGTGCTCCGCAACGGGAGAGGCCACAACGGGGAGAGGCCCGCGAAAAAAAAAAAAAAAAAAAAAAAAAAAAATTGAGTTGGCCAAAAGGTTCATTATGGAAAAAACCCGAACGAACTTTTTGGCCAACCCAATAGTAGCCATTTCTGATGGTTGTGTGGCATATGCCTAAGATGTTTAATTCAAGAAGAATCAAGGAGTGTGTTTAAATGTACTGTCGATGAAGGTATCGATGTACCAAAGACCACATAACAGAGGCTTTAGTGAGATGGATTGATTTTCTCATGTAAATATCCACACTGGAGGTGGGGCAGGGAGTAGGTCGGCCCTACCTGCTGAGGTGATCCATGGACCCAGTTTCCTTCTACCTTGTTGCTCCACATCTCCCAGCTCTGGTCCTCAAACTTGATTGTGCATGAGAATCCCCTGGACGGTTTTTGGAAACACAGTCCTGGGCCCCTTGCCCCAGAGTTTCTGATTCAGCAGGTCTTGGATGGGGCCTGAGAATTTGCCTCTCTCACAAAGCCCCAGGTGCCACTGCTGCAGCTACAGCTGGTCTGGGGACCACAATTTGGGAACCATTCTCCTAAAGTGTCAGCCTCTTCAAGACATTTGAAGCCAAGTCATCATCGCTATAACTTTGTTATGGAAAGCAGGAAAGGGCAAAGAGATACTGGAGAGCAAGCAGCTTCCTTTTAAGGACCCTCCTTTTAAGGATGTGAGCTGGGAGTTTTCCACATCTTTTCTGCTCCCTTCCTTTGGCTGAAATTTGTCACGTGGGAACACCTACCTGCAAAGTAGCCTGGGAAATATAGTCTCTAGATGGGTGGTCATTTTCTCAGCCAGAGCCTAGGTGGTCCTATTACCAAAAGTAAAAGGGGAAACTGGATGTTAGGGAGTCTGGTCATTAAGATAGAACTAAGAGAGTCAGCCGGGGTCAGGAATACAGGGATGCAGGGGCTTCTAGGCCAGCAGTTCCCAATGTTGTCTGGGGACCTCAGGGTCCCCAAGGCACTTTCAGGTATTTTACAAAGTTAAAACTATTTTCAGAGTAATAGTAAGATGTTATTTGCCTCCCTCTCTCCCTCTCCCTCTCCCTCTCCCTCTCTCTCTCTCTGGAATTTTCCAGAGGTTATGTGATGTATGACATCGTTACTCTGATGGCTAATGGAATATGTGTTTTTGTATTCTCAATTTAAAAGTTTTGTAATTTTAATTGCTAAAACCGAAACAGGAAGGAAAGGGACAGGGCACAGCCTTTAAAAGAATGACATAACCATAGGACATGACAAAAACTGGTTAGAACTAACTAGGTCCGAGATGGCAGAAGATTTGACTTCCAGTGGACCTTGAGCCTCATTCTATGCTCATTGTAATACATTAGCATATGCTAAATAACACACCCACCAGGGCCATGACAGTTCAGAGGCTAACCATAAAAGGCCAAAAAGTGGGCAGTGGCCCAATTCCTGGAAATCTCCGCCTCTTCCCCCAAATAGTTGGAATAATCCTGCCACTCATTAGCCTGTGAAATTACCCAGCCCATAAAAATTAACCACCCCATACTTCAGGTCTTCTTGCCTTCTGAGATGGCCCACATTTTGTTGGTGGAGTGTGTTTCTCTCTAAATAAATCCACTTCCTACCTATCACTTTGTCTCTCACTGAATTTTTTCTGAAGCGAGACATCAAGAAACTGAGCTTCATTAAGTCCTGAGACCAGGTGTGTGATCTCAATTAAAAGACTGTGGATTCAAGTCCCAATCTGAGTTCTGGCTCGGTTTGAGTCCTGGCACGTGGGACTATAAATATTGATAGATATAACCCATGCAAACAAAAGTTCTTTGGGGTCTCTGTTATTTATTTAAGAGTGCAAAGGGGTCCCTGAGACCAAAAAGCGTGAGAACTGCTATGTTCGTATTTATTTCTACTTAAATTCAAGTCTCGACACTTGGGCCAGCCAGGTGTTGTGAATTGGGGCTGAAATTCCACCTGAGGGCTGACCTGGCCAAAGGGGCAGGTTTTGCCCTTCTCCACTCGACAGTAAAACATATTTGTGACAGTGCTGACATTTACCTGAGCCTTATGCGTCTGGACAACAGAGAAGAAATCCCCTGCCCTGCACCCTACCCCCCAACTTCTGCTTTCCAGGAAATGGCTTACTGCCAAGAAGCACCCTTCCCCATATGACTTAGATAAGACCCATGGATGAGCCCCTTGTTGACCTAAGACAAGGCAACACACAGATCCTCCAAATTTCCATTTTTTGGACTCATAAACGATTAGCTGTTTTGCCCACCATGGATCAGTCGGCACAAAATGCTTGTTAACCAAACCTAAGTTAAGTCTCCCACCACATCCCTTCCAGAATTTTGGTCCATCCTTAGCCTGAGCCCTAATACAACCTCTGAATAGGGTGGCCTCAGGATAAACCATTCTCTCTGATCTACTGTTCTAGCAAGCTACCTTGTCATCCCACTTCCCCACATCTCATTCTTTTTAGCCTTGTTTACTCCTCCCTATAAAAGAAAAACTCTGCTGTCTGACCCTTGTGCAGCTTGCAAATCTTACGGTTTTCCTGATTATAATAGTGCCTCTCCCATTGCAATAGCCCCTCCTCTGCTTTGCAATAATCCTTTTGAAGAAAGTCTTTCTTTACCAAGTCTGAATTGTTTTTCATTGAGGTGAAATTCACATAACATGTAATTAACCATTTAAAAGTGAACAATTCAGTGACATTTAGTTCACACAATGTTGCACAACCACCACCTCTATCTAGTTCCAAAACATTTCCATCATGCCAAAATATAGCCCCATGCCCTTTAAGCAGTTACTTCACATGCACGCTCTCCCTCCAATTTTTTTTTTTTAAGTTATTTATTTATTTATTTTTGGCTGCGTTGGGTCTTCGTTGGTGCGTGCGGGCTTTCTGTAGTTGCGGGAAGTGGGGGCTACTCTTCCTTGTGGTGCGCGGGCTTCTCATTGTGGTGGCTTCTCTTGTTGTGGAGCATGGGTTCTAGGCACGCGGGCTTCAGTAGTTGTGGTTTGCGGGCTCTAGAGCGCAGGCTCAGTAGTTGTGGCACACGGGCCCAGCCGCTCCGCGGCATGTGGGATCTTCCCGGACCGGGGCATGAACCCGTGTCCCCTGCATCGGCAGGCGGACTCTCAACCACTGCGCCACCAGGGAAGCCCCAAATGATCTTTAGTGCTAACTCTCCTCTGGCATTCCTGTGGATCTTGGCTTGGGAGGTCCTTGACAATTGTTGCTCAGAAGATGATTTTCATATTCGATCTGTCACCTTTATGCATATTTAAGAAGGATGGTTTGTTTGAACAATCTAGAATAGGCACAGACTCTTGATCTCCATCTCTGATTCGTTTTGTTACCTATGAAGACTTGCAATTTTAAGCCCAGAAAGAAAAAAAAAAAAGAAAAGCCCGAGTTCTGGAATGTCAATAATTTACATCGTACATGACAAGAAAACCACAGGCCAGTGTGGCTCAATCTTATCAGCAAAGAAGGAGAAAGAACTAAATTAAACTTGACTTAATAACAGTGAAATTAG